ATATTTCTTTTTTTAAATCCCCCCCCCGCCCCGAACACCCACCCAATTTGCTCTCTCTCTCTCTCTCTCTCTCTCTCTCTCTCTCGCTCGCTCTCTCTGTCTCTTTCACACAAAATATCTACCAACGTTACAGACGGCAATTTCGTCTTTGTTCGGCGAACACAAAATATCTACCAACACACACACACAAACACAATATCATTAGTCAAAAGAATCTGTCAAAAAACAATAACAGTGGACAGAGTTCCTTTTATTCGTCTTCATCCTTCAACAACTAAACCAATCAATCCCCCAAATAAGTAATAATTACAGAAAATAAACATGAACAAATGATGTTTTAGCTCCTCCAATGCAGCTCTCAATCTCTCTCTCTCTCTCTCCCCCATTACTGTTTTAGAACCCATTACTGTAAACAAATGATATTTAACTTCAACAGGAATCGAAATGTGCTCACCTGAAGTGCAAAGGCAAAACCCTTCAGGTGGTACTCTCTTGGTCTACCAGTTGCCGTTGTCTTTACTTGCTTTTTAGATTTTTTTGTTTTCGAAGCTTTTTTGGGCCCTTTCACTCGCTGGTAATCTGCACACAGTGCCCTCAGCAGTGACGCATTTGTCTTCGCATAAGACACAGCACCCCATGGATATTTCCCAAAATCTTCAAGGTCTTCCGCCAACTTCAAATATCGCATGTCAATGTGGACATGTTTTTCACTGCCCAACAGCACAAACACAGCGAAGTATACAAAGCCGAGCTTCAATGCATCATCCGCATCAGCGCAATCGTGGAAGGTTTTTCTAATTCCAACAGGCTCACTGTTTTATTGTTGCCAAAATACTTCCTTTTCAATGAGCAGTTGTCATTACTGGGAATCGGAATAAAGGGAAGGTTTCCAAACCGTAGCCCTGTGACGACGCAAAATTGCTGCGGTGTGAATTGGATCACCTTATTGCCAACAATGAATTTGATCCCGTTCACTTGGGAAACAGTCTTCGGATCAGCTTTCCTCAGCAACAATCCGTGTACAATTGGCGACGTCCACTTCAGGTCCTCGATGAGTAGGAGATGCCCAAAACAACTCTCTTCGAAGGTTCGTAGCTGTTGCTCACTGAATTTCTCTTTTATCGTACTTATTGCACTCTTTGTATGGGATAGCGCCAATGCTTTTCCTTGGAACTTTTCTTCCTCTCCAATCATCAACTTAATTGGCGAAACCATGTTTCCCTGCACACCATTATTATTAAAAAAAATTCAGTCCGTTGCAATCTGGACAATAACAAGCAATACACAATTCAACGGCCTATTATAGGATATTATGTAACACCCCGACTCCAAATTTATCCCATGTTTTAATTTATTTAAGTGGAATTGAGAAATTACCCGTGGGATAGGGGTATTTTAGTCATTTTCTTATCCGGAAGGAATTTGGGAATTCCGGATGTAT